GCAAGGCGTCTTAGATTTACTTTGTTTTCTCAACTTGTAAATGTACCCAGGGAGGGAATTCTTGTGATGGTGGCAGCGAACCAAAGCTAAGCTGGTAGATAAGCTTAGAAGTTTTCATGCAGGCCCCTACATTTGAACCCTAAAGTTCAAAGTGGGGATCCAGCCTTGACAGGCCCTCTTTTCCTCTGTTCGGTTGCCCTTTTTGTAAGGCTCTGCTTGTGCCTCACTACTTTTCCGCTTTCCCCGCTCCTAGCTTGTGCCAAGGTTGCTCATATGGGCTCTACACATCTCTTGTGGCATAAATACCAAAGCACCACAATCAAATAGATGTAAGTATATTTGTTTTCACTGTGCTCCTATGACAATGTAAGATATGCACTGTGGGTAAGAACAGCACAGGCATGCTCCACTATTGTGGTGGCAGGAACAGGGAGAGAGGAATAGTAAAGTTGCTGAGGGTATGTCTACACTTACCAGGTAGTTCGGCGGCGAGCGATCGAACTTCTGGGTTCGACTTATCGCGTCTTGTCTGGACGCGATAAGTCGAACCAGGAAGTGCTCGCCGTCGACTGCGGTACTCCAGCTAGACGAGAGGAGTACCGCGGAGTCGACGGGGGAGCCTGCCTGCCGCGTGTGGACCGAGGTAAGATCGAACTAAGGTACTTCGAACTTCAGCTACATTATTCACGTAGCTGAAGTTGCGTACCTTAGTTCGATTTGGGGGGTTAGTGTAGACCAAGCCTGAGATTATGGAACAAATCTTTATAGATCCAGATAGAACAAAAAATCCACTAGCTTCAAGTATCTAAATTAAGCAAGTATGCTTTTGTAATTGTAATCATGTTTCTAGAACAAAATATTTTGGATATATATATAATAGATCATTTTCTTCAATCAGTGTCATTTCCAGACATTCAGCTGACATGCTCCTTAAAAAAAGCCTCCCAAACTTACTGCATCTTTTCATAAAAAAATTAGACCAAACAATACAGAAATTAATCCCGGAGATGCTGTCTTAACAATAAATTAAGTCTGACAGTCCAAGTTCTTAAACCTTTGAGCCTCAAATAATTAAGTTAGCCATCTATATTTCAGTGTCTAATCCAGGGGTTGGCAACCTTTCAGAAGTGGTGTGCCGAGTCTTCATTTATTCACTCTAATTTAAGGTTTCGCGTGACAGTAATACATTTTAATGTTTAAGTTCTCTTTCTCTAAGTCTATAATATATAACTAAACTATTGTTGTATGTAAAGTAAATAAGGTTTTTAAAATGTTTAAGAAGCTTCATTTAAAATTAAATTAAAATGCAGAGCCCCCCGGACTGGTGGCCAGGACCCAGGCAGTGTGAGTGCCACTGAAAATCAGCTCGCGTGCCGCCTTCGGCACGCGTGCCATAGGTTGCCTACCCTTGGTTTAATCTCTGCATTTCTGTCTTAAATTTCCTACATGTAATTCAAGGGGAAAAAAATAAATAATAGGAGACAACACTATTTGATGTTGGATAGAAAGGAGGCCCTTCTCCCGTAGTGAAGTTATTTGCAACTATGCGAAACTACTCAGAGTACCTCTCAAAGTAGCACAGATGCCAGTCACTCCAGGGATACAAGTCAGGCTAAGGAGCTGTAACTGGGACCACATTTAGTTATGTAACTAGACTCCAACTCACCCATGTGACTTACAGATCAGATAAGCATTGATTTGTGCAAGTTGGTAGCAAATATTTATTTGCAGTACTATTTTTAATGCAACAGTACACAACCTCCAAGATAAGAGGTCAGACAATGGATTTTTAAGCTCTCCTTCCTCACTCACTATTGTCTGGAAAGGCAGGTAGAAGCAAACAGAATATAAATGAACAATTTAAGAGGGATAACACGGTAGTCCCTCTATGGAGAAACCATGGAATCTTCTAGTTTTAAAGCTCCTAATTCTTTGTTCAGTCTAGTTTTAAGTATGGCATCTTTAAAAGATTACCAGGATTACATAACATTTCCAGGGAAGATTTTTACTATTCATATATAAGCAAATCCAAGAGTTAATACATTAGTGCAATTGCAATACTTCAAATCATAGATTTGGTCTATATATCTGTGGTCTGAACTACCTGTTCCACTGGAAAAGTGGGTATCAACCAAAAAAATATTAGTCAACTTTCATGACTGGTCAATCCTATGAAGCACTTTCAGCATTTTTCCTAGTAAGCCACCTCTGCAAATCGGTCCAATGTTGAGAGGGATCACGCAGCAGCTCACAAAAATGAGTATATTTGCAAACCATGCAGAGGTGGACTAGGATAGTTAAGTGTCTCACTAAGATGAAGAGACACCAACAAGCACTACCACAGGAAATCTAACCACAGAGTTGCTCTTATAAGTGAAATAAGGAGAGTCAAAGACAGGATCCCAAATGTGACCTAATTTAGATAGCAGCAATCAGACACCTTACAACCTTGTCCGGGAGTTGTGGAAAACATTACTCTCCGCCCCCATACTCTCATGGAAAGAGGGGGCTGGGGCAGGGAGAGGAAGAACGAGAATTTTCTTCTGCAGCACCTAAGCTCATTGCAGAGAAGAGGGGGAGGAGGAATGAACTTTCCCCAGAAGGAGCTGCCACATTCTGGGGGTGGGGAATGGGACGAGAAGCGAGAACCTTCCTCAGCAGCATCAGCTACACCCTTCTGCAGACAGATAATAGGGAAGGGAAATAAAAATCCACCCAGACTCTCCAGCCTGGGGCGGGGATGATGGGGCAGGGAAGGAAGCGCGGACTCTCCCCAGCAGCAGCCACCATCTCCGCCAGCTTGGTCTGCAGCCAAACAACCCCACAAGAATGCAATGCGGTCACATGACCTCCGGCGGATATGCAGCTCCCGTCCCTCTCCAGGGAGACCCTGTGCCATCTTGTACTGACGCAGTTACAAATACAGGCACAGGCTGGCACTCTCCCCCCGCTTATCTCCTCAGTCACGGCACCGCTTGGGTGATGGTTGTCAAGGCCTTCTCGTTCCCTTCCCATGAACTTGCCTCAGTCTCCGTGCCCTCACAGATTCCCCAGTGCCGGGATCATGGCGCCCAGCTTCTCCCTTTGCACCAGCCTCCCCCGACAGCTCCTCAGTCCTGCCCAGCTGCAGCTGCCCCGGCTGGAAGATGATGTCAGCAGCAGACAATCCGGGCGCACCTGGCTATTGGCTTCAATGCGGTCCGCTCCCCACTCCTCTTCCTCCTGACTCAGTCCTCACCGTGGTTCGCTGCGGAGAAGTGGCCAAGACAGAGGTGGGGGAGGGGAATGGGAGGGGAAAGAAGGAAAAAAAACAACAAAACCAAACCCACCAAGACAGCAGCCGCCATTTCACGCAATAACAGGCAGAACCTGAGCGAGTAGCCCAACCAAGCATCCTACGGAGAGAGAAAGAGAGAGACAGAGACACACACACACGAGTTAGACAAGAAAAAATACCCTCAGACTCCGCCCTAGCCACAAGACGTTTAATCACTCCCGCCCCCATACTCGATGCCTTGTTACAGACGCCTCCTCTGCATCCAGATCCCTTTATCTCAACTCCTTCCTGCCGCAGCAGCAGTTTACAGCCCCTCTGTGCCCAAGGTATGGGGAAGGCTAGGCTATGGCACCGCTGCTAGTGGCTTCTCCGGTCACCCGCTTGTGGCGGCTCCATCAAGGCAGGGTAAAGAGCTGCCAGCCCAGCTTTTATGTGGTGCCCCAAGTTTGCGCACTGAAGGATGCTAGCTCAGCCCCTGGTGGGTGTTGAATGAAACCCCAGCCGCCACCTCCCTTCTCTCACTCAGCCATTGCCGGAGGGGCTGAAGCCAAGCGGGGAATGCGGGGCGGTGTGTTGGCAGCACACACAGGGAGGGGATGTGGGGGAAGGGAAGGAACTCAGCATAAACAGAGGGGCTGCGCCTGTCTCACACACACTTACCTCTTGCTCTGCCTGTGACTAGTCCTTGACAAAGCCCTGGCTGGGATGATTTAGTTGGGGACTAGTCCTGCTTTGAGCAGGGAGTTGGACTAGATGACCTCCTGAGGTCCTTTCCAACCCTGATATTCTATGATAGCCCAGATTAGGGCTGCCCCAGACCTGCCCCCACAAGTGTCATTCGCTAAAGGGAAGCCTTGCAGGCAAAGCTGGCCCTAGTGCCCCAGTCTCGCTCCTTGGAGGAGGTTCCCCTAGGCAGGGCTGCGCTAAACCTCAGTCACTTGTGGAGAGAATTCCTCAGCCAGACCAGACCTGCCTCAGGTCTCCACTAACTGGGGAGGAAGAGGGGGAGATCCCAGCAGCCAACAACCCTCCATAGTTCACGGAATGGGCTTCAGTCTCTTATCCCCCGTCTCACTCTGCGTGGGGGAGATTGCCTGGGTCTAGCAGCCTCCCCCACAGCCTGTGTGTGTCAGTACGGATGGGCCAGGCTCACAAGAGGTCAGAGGGCAGGCTGGCGCAGGGGCTCACTTGGGGATAGGCTGACGACAGGTTTCGATGTCTGCATCCCTGCGGAAAACAGGGTCTCGCTCCGCGCTTTAGGTCACCCGCAGCATCATTTTGGGCCCGAGCCCCCCCGCCTGTGGACTCCGCCGCGCGATCGCCCCGAGTCTCCCCCCAGACGCCGTCCCCTCGCCCCCGCCGTCCCCTAGGCTGCCGCTTTCTAGCATTTTTCGATCGCGGGCCGCGCTCTCTGGCCCCGGCCCTCGAACAGTTTGATATCGCGAGGAAACCCCCTTTGTAAAATGGACATGGCACGAGGGAGGACTTAACGGACACAGACTGCGCTCCAGCCCACAAGCAAAATGGCGGCCGTTTGGCTTCGCCCTGGCAACCTTGCCCCTGCCGGGCGGGAGGGGTGAGCCCCGTGTAGCGGGAGGGAGGGGAGAGCGGAGGACGCCATTTTCCCAGAGAGGCGGTGACATAGAGGGAGCGTAGGAGGCTGAGACGGCAGCGGCGGGGGGGGGGTTGTACCCAGGTCCCAAGGCAAAGGCGCTTCCCAGCTGGTCCCTGCAGGGTTCCGAGTCGGTCTGGGGAACCCCTCTGCTCACTCCCCTTTACCAATCCGCAGTGGGGCCGTTGCATTGTTTTGGTGGGGGTAGGAAAGGGGCTCAGCTAAGGGGGAGCTGCTGCCTGGCCTGTGAGCATTACAGGTGAGTCTCCTGTTATGGTTATCATTCCTGCCGTGGGGGAGGGAGTAAGAGTTAAAACGTTAGGGAGGGAGCCATAGGAGCCGAGGAAAAATTGGTGGGTGCTCTGCTCTGCTCCCCTGCTCGCCGCCTCCTCCCCTGAGTGGGCCGGGGAGTCCTGCTTCTCCCTCCCAGCGCTTGAGCCAGGAAACAACTGTTTCGCGCGGCAAGGCGGTGGGAGGGAGGGGAAAGGGGCGGGGATTTGGGGAGGGGTCCAATAGGAGCAGGGAGGGGGCGGAGTCGGGGCGGGGCCGGGGGCGAGCACCCACCAGTGCCAAGGAAAGTTGGCACCTGTGGAGGCATCTCTTTACATTGGGGAGGGGAGGGGTGTGAGCTCCCCTCCCCTCCCCTCTAAACCGTGAATGATTCTGTATAAATTGCTTTTGATTGTGTTTCATGTTGTATGGGTTGGTTTGAAAATGAAAGGGAGTCGTTATATCTTGTGAATATGGCGGGTTACTGTAACTGGAGGTGCCGAGGGTTTTTTTTTTTGGCAGTTATGCTGGATTTATGCATTATGATTAAAACCAAACAAACCCAAGAGGGGCTATTATGTGACATACAACATAAATTTCTGTAGACCCAACATTTAAGAGCAGGCATGTGTAATAGTATGATTGCATATTGGGTTGTATGCATAAAGCTTATAAAATAGTCGTCTTTATCCTGTATATTTTTGTTTTGTGATACTAAAATGACTCCTTATAGGCCTAATCTCTCTCCCTCCCTCCCTTTTAACATCTCTTCTGTCCTGTAACCTGAACAAATGGAAAACAGTTTTAAAGTTTCTGTGTCAATTTAAAAGGGGATGATTCTCCCCACCCCCTTTGTAGAGACGGTAAGGAGCCTAAGGTATACACCTCTACCCCGATATAACGCAACCCGATATAACACTAATTCGGATATAACGCGGTAAAGCAGTGCTCCGGGGGGGCGGGGCTGCGCACACTGGCGGATCAAAGCAAGTTTGATATAACGTGGTTTCACCTATAACACGGTAAGATTTTTTGGCTCCTGAGGACAGCGTTATATCGGGGTAGAGGTGTATTTAAAATACTCATCTTTTGCCGCCTTATTTTAGTTTTTTATATCTAGCATTCATATTTCCTTGTGTGGCACATCTAAATCTTTTTTTATTGAAAGGCATTAGTGGAGTAGACCCTACTGCTGCAGATGTAGGGGAGGAGAAATAAACGGTCCACTGTGTAGTACAAAATAGGGGAGAAATATAATGTAGTTCAATTAGAAAGGTCCTGTATTCCCCTATATTCAGTCATTCAGGAATGTGCGGTAGTTAAAAGCCCTGAGGTCCCTAAAATTGTATACCCTACATTTGATTAAAGTCAGAACTTAAGAATGGTTAGCCTTAGGGCTTGGCTACACTTGCAAGTTAGAGCGCACTAAAGCCACCCAGTGTGCTCTAACTCACTCCCACACTGGCAAGGCACGTAGAACGCTCTGACTCCGTGGCTAGAGCACTCCTGGTACTCCACCTCGGCGAGAGGAATAAGGTCTGATGCTTCTTGGCTGAGATGCCCCAACGTCAGTGTGAATGAGGTGTTGCATTACTGCGCTCTGATTATGGGACATTTCCGGAGGTCAATCCCCTTAAGTCAAGTGACCGCTCCAGTAATTGGTTTGAACTCAGCTGTAGGAATGCACATATGCCCTTTCAAAGCTCCGTTTCTGACAGCCGGCATGCTTATCTGCTCCACGACAAAGCAAACATTACTTAGGAATGTTGCTTGCTGTCAGTGTGTGAGAGAGAGAGGCTGGGGTGAGGGGGGTCTGAACTTACAAGACAGCATGGTGACACACTCTCAGCACTCCAAAAACCCACTCTCTCTCCCCACATAGACACAACACACTCCCTGTCACACTCCACCCCACCCCCCGCATTTGAAAAGCACGTTGCAGCCAATTGAACGCTGGGATAGCTGCACATAATGCACCACTCCCAATACCACTGCAAGTGCCGCAAATGTGGCCACACCAGTGCGTTGCAGCTGTCACTGCAGCACTTTCCCTACTGCGCTCTCCGAAGGCTGGTTTAACTCAAAGCGCTTTACATCTGCAAGTGTAGCCAAGCCCTTAGTTTATTTACATCATCCTAAAGGAACTAGTAACGAAAAGGCTTTTTTGATTTTTGAGACCTACCTCAGTGAACTGAAAGAGATGGCTATGACCATAGGTAGGATACCTAAATGCTTGACCATAAACATTGTACATTTTAAGTTACTTATGGTAAATGTGGAGTAAAAATTGTAATTTCCCTCTTTTGTCCTTTAGAGATTCTAAAAATGGCGGCCCTATGCTGATGTTGTGGTAATCTAATCAGCTTGGGTCCTCCACACCCCATGCAGTGCGTTTGTCTGCAGCACATTACTGGCTTGTTATGTATAAATGAAAAGGCTGTTTTCTTCAAATCATATTAGTTCAGACAAGAAATGGATGTGTGCATGGTTCCTAGTTGAGGAGCAGGATGAAGGGGAGTGCAACAGAGTTGTAAGAGGGAGGAATTGATTTAGTAACAGACTTTTCTCTTCAGAAAAATGTCTTGTAATATTAGTCACTGTATATCTTATTATTTCCCTCCTTTAGTGTGTGTGTATGTTTGTTCCTTCACCATTAATAACTTGTCCTGTAAAGCTCAGTTTAATATTACCTTTATAGACAAGGATATTTTATTTTATTAGCTGTATAAAAACACACACAACTTATCCTAACCTCTTGGCACCCTTTTTAATTATGTAAAAATGAGATCATACATAAAGGCAAAACCTGCAACCTCCATCATATATAACACTAGATAATCAGACCTTACAGTAAGAAATAAAGTAAAAATCTTCCTCCAGAGCCTCCCTAAAACAGCCTTTCCCCAAGAGCCTCTCTTTATAAATGTAGACTATCTTAGGCTATGTCTACACTACAGACCTTACAGCCGATATAGGGTCTCCCATGTAGCTGGCTCTCCTGAGAGCTCTCCTGTTGGCATAATTAAACCATCCCCAATGAGCGGCGTTAGCTATGTTGGTAGGAGAGTGTCCCTGCTGACATAGCGCTGTTCACACCAGCACTTTTATTGATGAAACTTTTTCACACCCCTGACTGACAGAAGTTTTACCGACAAAAGTGGTAGTGTAGACAAAGCCTTAGTTTCCTTCCCTATTCACGGTAGTGGTGAAAATAAACAATTTCTCCTGGTATCAGTAGACTTTTTTGTCGTTGTTGCAGCTGCTTATCAGTCACCTATTCTGCTACATTCTCTTAGTTGGCTATTAATAGGCTTGGCAGAATTACATTTTTATTTTTTTTATAATTTTGACGGGTAAGATCAATGTTTATTTTTAAGCATTTAAAAATTTTTTTATTGAGTTCAATTTTCTCAGTTGTCGAACTCAGGCACAATAATTGTTTAATGATAGTAGGTGTTGAGATTCAAAAAGTTAGCTTTATAACCATTAAAACACATTTTCAACATCACAAGTCAAAATATAAAAACTAAATATCCTTATTTGAACTGTTAAGTTCCCCAGCAGCATTTTTCTTACTTTACCTATCTGTAAACGTTAATTATTGTCAATGGAAATATTTTTATTGGTTTGTGTGCACAGAGAAATCAGCGTTTACTGACAAAAATCTAATTCTTCCAAGCCTAGTTATAATGTACAGGTCCTGAAGTAATGAGGAAGTTTGCATGCATCTGTTTCTTGTCTGCACTAAAATGCATAGGAGGATAACTTTTAATTATACTGTGTCTGTAATTTGCACAGGTTCTTATGTTGACATAGCTTGTGTCTCTAAAAAGATGTTACTAAACGATAACCCCATTGGCAGCATAACTTCAGATAAACTTAAGAACTCCTCAGTCAAGAGCCCTTTCCCCTTGTTTAGATTATCTTCCAAGCAGGAAATATTAAATGCAAGTTCCAGTAGTAGGAGCTACTAGTGTGCAAAAGGGCATAGATTCTGCTAGTACTGTAACAGACAATGTTTAATGATAACCTTTTGACAACTCATTATTTACAAAACACTGACACATCGTGGTATTTAAAAAATGAAGTACATTAGTGATGATTAAAATAAAATTCCAAAGTTGTTAGAATTATTGCATCTTTGTGAAATAGGAAGATAGAATCCATTAGGAAAAAAACAGTGCTCACTGGCAATCTTTCTTATCAGATAAAATGTAGCTTACTTATCTCTGGCTATTTTGTATTCTGAATTGTAACAAGGAACCTCTACTTTCTTCGCAGGTATTTACTGAGATCCCTTTAAACATAAGTCTGTAAGTGGGGGCATAGGCCGTGTTTGGAAATCTGTTCGGTTTGTTCTGATGTAGTTCCACTCATTTCCCCCCCTTCCCTTCTGTCCCCTGGTTTGGTCTGATTTGATATGATTATCTACTTTCCTGCTCAGGCTTCAAGCTTTAATATTTACTACCACATTTTTGCTACTCCTAGTAGCATTTAGCTACTCCTAGTTATTTAATATAACAGTTAACACAGCAGTTACTCTGAATTTTTTTTAATGCTGCCTTCTAGAGGTGTGACCTCTGAGGTTTTTGATAGTTAAATGTCACATCTATTGGTTTCTAAATACACATCTCTTCAAAAAGGACCACTTTTTATTGTGTAAAAAGCTTAAGTGCTAAACTTACTTGTTTAACCAGACTCTCAGCATTAGTCAGATTTAGCAATAAAGATGCATACTTACCTTGTAACTTTTCTTTTCACAAAAGGATGTTTTCCTAATTCTTAGTACAGTACAACTAGTGGATAATGTAGATGTAGTGTAATGGGGAGGGGAGGGATTTTATGCTGTGGGACTCTTGCCATGAGCAAGAGTTAGATTGTCTTCTTTTGTTTTCTACCTTATGAAAAGTATATTGCCTGTGCAACCTAATTTGAACCCTTTGTGGTATGCATCAGCATCATCTCCTTTTTTCAAGCAAACGTTGAGTACGGGCAACTTTTGTAGGTTTCTTGCCTTATGTTGTAGCTACCTAGACTGCCAGCCACCCCAAGGCTAGGCCAATTTTACAGATGGAAAACAGAGGAACAGAGAAGCTAAATGACTTGTTGAAGGTTACAAAGGAAGACTGTAGTGGAGCAGGGATGTGAAGCCAGGTCTCCCATGGCCTAGGCTAGTGCCCTAATCACTAGATTATCCTTCCTCTCATGTATGCCTTATGATGATAGTCTTTACTTATATGATTTCATACTATTTTTTTCCTCCTACAGGATCCTTGCATTGTTCTTTTTGCATTGGTGCTTTTTATCTTCATTCAGTGGCTGTGGCCCATATTTCATGTACTGCACACCATCCAAACCCTATAAAAACAGAATTATTAATTTCCTCATGGACTTTTCTGTGGTTCTCCATAATATCTGAGTTTCACAAACATTAATTTTCACAAATCCCCCTGTGAGGTGGTGGAATCCCCATTTTATAAATGTGGAACTGAGGCACAGATACTTTAATGTAAAAGATATCCACTAATTCTGGGAACCCAATTTGAGATGCTTTGGACCTGATTTTTCAGAGCATTTACTACTTTTTAGCACTGTGTATGTTCAAAGCACAGCTCTCGTTGACTTCAGTTGCAGCTGTGAGTATTCAATTCTTCTGCAAATCAGACACCAGGGTCTCAACTCATGTACTCAGAAAATGAGGAACACACATGCAATGTTCCTGTGAAACGTTTGTAAGTGTCTTGCTCAACATCACATAGGAACTCAGTGGCAGAGGCAGGTATAGACTCTAATTCTCCAGGACAGCATTCAACTGACTTGACCATGAGACCCTCCTTATCGTCCTGCAGTCCCCAACTTCATTCACTACACACCTTCCAGCTTCTGCAACAAATAAAGCAGGGGGTCCTACAGGCTCATTAACAACTGAACCCAGATTTATTCCCAGAGCACAGTCCATTCTGTGCATGAAATGAGGCAAGGGTCCTCTGGGAAAAAGAGAGTATGCAATCATATCATTAAAGGCTGTATAATAAAGCACAAGGGGCCAAATTAAGGTTGCCTGAGTAACCTTAATTTTGGCATTTCCAAACTTTGCTTGATGTTGCAAACATAATATTCTTTTTATGTAGTTTTTACTATAACATCCTAATTTAAAACAATCCTGCAAAATACAGAAATTCCATCATGTGACGCCATAATAAACTCCACATGGGTCATCCGGCAGGGTTTGGACTTTCAAATCCACAGTACAGACCTCTACTACTTGAGCTAATGGACTAACTACTAGCTGTAGGATGCTGTTGTCCTCTGTGTGGGCCAGAAGCTACCAAAAGGGGATGAGACACATACTTTGCCAATAGGTTTCACAGCTATTTGCTAGTCAAAAAAGGAATATTGAGACTCTCTGGAATCCTGGTTTCAATTCCAGATTATATAGGAGAGTGTCTTTTACTGGTTATAAACACTTATGTTGCTATCCACACTCTCATCTGTCTCAGGCTCCTGCAACTGGCAGCCAAAAGGCAGAACTGCAGGCCTATGCTTCCTGCCTTCCTACAGCTCAGCAGAATGTGAGAATGCACCTGAGATGTCAGAATACATGACAGGACTGTCAAATGTGTGACTGTCACATGAGATGCCTGATGCTTGGCAATCCTGCATAAAAAAGGGGCATCAGGTGATTTGGTGATTTCCAAAACTTCTGCCTTCAGCACTAGAATGAGGAGCGTTTTGAGATTTCTACCATCTTGGAGCCTGCTTGGGGAGGTTCCACCATTTCATATTGAATAGCACAAGGGTGATGTCTGATGAATCTGAAGCTCCAGTAGCCAATAGAAGCAGTGTTTATTCTCTTCCTACCTTTTTCCTCCTTGTCATTTGGTAGGGGAAGCCTCTACTACACAGTCCATTCCACTCACTTCCCTCTCCTCATCCATTGTTTTTTTTAGGTCCTCCTAACATAGGATATTTCAACTGTAAAATCCTTGTAGTGTTTTAGAATATCACTGTTTTCAAAGTTGCTTTCTTTGTCTACCCAAACTAGATAAAATAAGTCTATGTAATTGTTGTTAGCCGAGGAGTGTCTGCTTGTTTACTTGATCCATAAATGTGGGTCTAACCTTCTTTGCAGTTCAAAGTGTATGATATTCTGAGTATTATTTGCAGGATTTATTGACCCTGTCGTCTATACATTATTGACACTGACTTCTATATATTGTCTTCTATACACTGTCAGACCTCTTTATTGGGAAGAAAGTAGTGAAAAAGGCAGTTGCACTATTGGTCTAGGAAGTATTTTCTTCATTTTATTCTGTATGTTAGTGGGATACTGTGCAAACTGGTGAGATGCGGTATCAAGAGCTTCCTGAAGTCTTGCTACTTACTGAGACTCCAGCTCTCATTTTGCTACTTGGTTATAAAAGGTATTTTTTCAAAATTTGCATTACAGTGTAAAAAAACAAACAAAAAATCAACCCCTCCCCAAAAGTAAGGAGTAAGTATTCTTAAGTGAGGGCTAATTTGACAGACTTACTAGAATATATTGTGCTTTCTCATACATACCTCATTGCCTGGATACAGTAGGTGAAGAAGCCAAAAATTAGTTTTACTGGTATTGCTTTTTAACTCATTATTGTCTGAAGGAAAGACTTGAAGTAGAACCTCAGAGTTACGAACACCAGGGTTATAAACTGGCTGGTTAACCACACACCTCATTTGGAACGGGAAGTATGCAATCAGGCAGCAGCAGAGACCAAAAAAAGCGCAAATACAGTACAGTACTTTGTTAAATGTAAACTACTAAAAAAATTAAGGGAAAGTTTAAACATTTTTTTGACAAGGTAAGTTAACAATTTCTGTGCTTGTTTAATTTAAATTAAGATGGTTAAAAGCAGCATTTTTCTTCTGCACAGTAAAGTTTCAAAGCTGTATTAAGTCAATATTTGTAAACTTTTGAAAGAACGGCCATAATGTTTTGTTTAGAGTTACAAACAACCTTCTTTCCCGAGGTGTTTGTAACTCTGAGGTTCTACTGTAGTTAGAAGTTAACTGAATCTTTTAGGGCCAAAGGTCTAAAACTGGACTAAAAACTCATAGAACATATTTTACTGCCAATTGTAGATGGTCTGCACTACAGGTATATAACAAATGAAGGGGTCCCAGGTACAGTAACCAGGTTGAGGAACAACTGTCAAGCCTTCCCCCACTGCAGTTGCCTTGACTTATCGGTCAAGAGCCAGTACAAGGGCATGGTTGCACAAACTTGCCTGACCCTGCCGAGTATACTCACATTGCTAGCCTGCGCTGCCACATCCTCACTGCTCTTTTTAGCGAGGTAGTTAGATTAAAGCTAGCATGGGCACCTCCACAGGAGCTGCAGTGTAGATGTAGCTTAGATGGGAACAGGAGTGAATGACCAGTGAGGGAGGTGTGAATAGTGAGTGGATGGACTCAACTAACTTTGGATGCTGGGAAGAAAGGAACTAACTTGGGAAGGAGTAGGGGGAGTTGTTACTTGCAAGGGGTTTTGAATTGAAAACTGTGAGATAACAAGACATCTGGCTCCATAGGCACTGGCGTGCTTTTTAGTCTTCAATATGATTAATTCATTATTGTTTCTCATTTTTACTTTAGAAAATACAAAAGCTTATGATCAATACTGCAAATGGATCATAAGTGTTATGTGATGATTCAACAAGCCTAGAGTTGAAAGAAATGGTAGGAAACAAGCAATTTGAGTGGACCGAAGTAGTGAAAACTGTTAATTCTCTTAAAGTAAAATGAAATGTTGTTTTAAGAGTTCTTAAGTAGTGAGATGAAAAAGAATTCATGTTAATTGGAAAGTGCAGAAAATCAGTTTCTTGGTGTTCTTTAATATCCTATATGTCAGGGGTGGGCAAACTTTTTGGCCCGAGGGCCACATCTGGGTGGGGAAATTGCATGCAGGGCCATGAATGTAGGGGGTTGGGGTGCAGAAGGGAGTGTGGGTTGTGGAAGGGGGTGCAGTGTGCAGGAAGGGGCTCAGGCAAGGGGTTGGGGCAGAGAGAAGTACGAGGGGGCTCAGGGAAGGGGGTGCGGAGTGCAGGAGGGGGTGCGGAGTGCAGGAGGGGGCTCAGGGCAGCGGTGCAGGGAGGAGTGCGGCGGGGGCTCAGGGCAGGGGGTTAGGGTGCAGGAGGGGTGCGGAGTGCGGCAGGGGGTTGGGGTGCAGGAGGAGTTCGGGGTGTGGGCTCTGGCCCGGTGCCACTTACCCGGAGCAGTTCCGGAGTGACAGTGGCGCGCATTGAGGTCAGGGCAGGCTCCCTGCCTCCCTGCCCTAGCCCCACGCCACTCCTGGAAGCGGCCGGCACCATGTCCCTGTGGCCCTTGGTGGGGGGGGGCAGAGGGCTCTGTGCGCTGTCCTCGCCTGTGGGTACCTCCCCTGAAGCGCCCATTGGCCGCGGTTCCCCGTGGAGCCCTCTGCCCCCCCCCTCCCCCAGGGGCCGCAGGGACACTTCCGGGAGCGGCGCAGGGCCCGTGGTGCCACAGGGGTGGCAATCCCCTGGGCCAGATCCGGTCTGCGGGCCGTAGTTTGCCCACCCCTGCTATATATCATTGAATGAAACTCTGTTTATTGAAGAGTATAACATTGAGTATGATCTTATGACTAATTGGTGTTTTTATTTTTAATCTCACTTAGATAAAGCAGCTATGCCTGTTCAGGTCATTGATGGCGCACCCGAAACTCTACTACCAAGCCACCTGCAGAAAGTGGATTTAAAATACCTACAATGGGGTTGTGATCAGGCCAACAAATACTTTCAGGTAACTTACTAGCAAGAGGGTGTTGGTCATCTTAAAAAAAATATGCTAAATGTACAAGGCATGTGTAAGCTCCCCTTACATGGCCCTGGCATCTGTATATCCTCACTGGATCTAAGTAGTTGTTTACACACCTTGAGTGAAATCTTGGCCCCACTGAAGTTGGCAGTTTTACTCTGTATAGATTTAAATGTTGAAGGATTTTCTTATTTAACTATAGATAATGCATATAAAACACATTACCATTTTCTTTATAGCATTTGTATTCCAAAAAATTGCAGTTTTGGGAGTGGTTTTGGGGCTTGATTAAATAAACAATCAAACAAAGGAAAAAACCCAACAAAAATCACCTAACCAAAAATGACAGCACTATGGATAAAAATCACTTTTCTGGTCTGGTGATTTTTAAAGGCATTTCACATTTCTTGTACAAAGCAATGCAATCTCCCAGTTATGAAGACAATTATTCTAATAGCAGCTACCACATCAAAATGTAATTGTTTTTTCTCTTTATTCCCTTGCCATAAAATGTGCTACATTGATAATAGCAATGTTTGGTTGCCAAGTAGTTAGTTGTTCCAGACTGGGAAATGTAGGGGGGTATGGAGCAATTCACATTTAGGAGTGTGTTCGCAGCTTCAGGCACAGAATGTTAGTGAAATAGACACCTTAGATCTATTTCTTAAAATGTGAGGCCATATTGCATTCTTCTTTTATCAAAATGTTTACTCTAATAAGATTTCTGTGAATGTAATTTTAAATCCATTTTATCATCCCCGAACACTTGGGGGATGGGAATCAATATCCTAAACTTTCATTAGGTCTGCTGTGAAAAACAATCTCTGTTTAGAAGAAAAAGCCAAACAAGCCATGCAGTTCAAACTTTTGATCATTGTTTTGTATACTGTGCACATTCAGAGAAAGGCCCGTGATATAGAGATCCATTTCCCTTAAGGTGTGGTGATACTAGTGAGATCTGGGCACAAGCCAACTGGTCTTATTGTTGTTTCTGTGGGGGGCTGAACCTGCAGACCAGATCACTGAGTGCAGGGGTGGCCAGCCTGAGAAGGAGCCAGAATTTACCAGTGTATATTGCCAAAGAGCCACAGTAATATGTCAGCAGCCCCGCATGAGGCCTCCCCCCCGCTCCCAGCGCCTCCCGCCCACTGGCTGCCTCGCCGATCAGCGCCTCCTCCTCCTCCCTCCCTGCACCTCCTGATCAGCAGTTTTGTGGCATGCAGGAGGCTCTAGGGGTGGGGTGGGGGAGGACCGAGGGCATGCCAGGCTCAGGGGAGGGGGCTGGAAGGGGTGGAGTCGGGGGAGGGCCTGTGGCAGAGCCAGGGTTTGAGCGGTGAGCACCCCCCGGCACATTGGAAAGTTGGCGACTGTAGCTCCAGCCCCGGGGTCGGTGCCTATACAAGGAGCCTCATATTAACGTGTGAAGAGCTGCATGTGGCTCTAGAGCAGGCTTGCACAACTCGTAAAGCGGCAAGGGCCAAATTACTCCAAAGAAAACAGCTGAGGGCCGAACCCCCCCAGCCCCGCCGAACCCCCTCCTCGCGCTGCCAACCCCTCCCCCAGCGCCGCCCAGCCCCCCCCCCCGAAACACAACACCTCCCCCAGCGCCGCCCTCCCCATGGAAACAACCCCCTAGTGCCACGGAAACACCCCCCAGCACCGCCCAGACCCCCCAAAACACCCCCCCCAGCGCCGCCCCACCAAAACAGCGGTATTGAACATTGGTAATATGTTATAGCGGGCTCCTAAGGTAGTATAATTAAGGTAAAAGAAAAATGTCTTTTTGCTCGAAGTAGCATAAGATCTTCCTCCCACTTTGTAATCAATTGCGCTGTTGAATGAATGATGTGTGAATGAGGAAGGCGAGGAAGGCAGCACCTCTAGACAGCTGCAACCCTTGGAGAGGGGATGGGAGCCAGACCAGATCAGTAGACCAGGTCAGCCACAAACTCACCACTCGCCTCCTCAGCCCCCCTCCCCTGCCACCAGCTCACCTGCCCCCCCGCCACTACCCGCCCGCTCGCCTCCTTAGCCCCCCTCCCTCACCCAACGCTTGCCTACTCACCCCCCATGGGCCGCACAGTGAGCCCATACAGGCCGCATGCGGCCCCCGGGCCGCATGTTGTGCAGGCCTGCTCTAGAGCCACAGGTTGGCCACCCCTAACTGAGAGTAATAGGGCGAAAGGGGAAAACACAGGAGCTTAAAAGAAAGAGAATTCAGTTCTCCTAAGTGCTATCATGTTGTATGTGTGGCCAAGAGAGGTTTTGGCCTCCTTTCTCTATATTTTTTGCGTTGTCTTCAATCCTCCATGTCCTAGTTGGTTTAGTCTGCAGGAAGGGCTTCTTGTTGCAGTTTCTTGAGGTGGAGTGAATTATTCCCAAGAGGATGAGAGGAAATATTTTGAGAATTGAAGAGAAAAGGGACATGACATCCCACACCCCCTAAAGTCTTTCAGGAGAAAAAAAACAGTCCACATTCTCCTAAGTTCTGGGTTTCTCCTCTCCTCCCACTTATGGATATTTTTGTGCTCTTTGGAGTATATAGACTCTGGCTTTTCAGCCTGCCAAGCAACAGCCACTTCTGCAAGCAAACCTGACAGACTGTACAGAATTACTGGACATGGAGTAAAATGTTGAGGCAGACAAAAGCAGATTCTAACTTAGGAAATATTTCTGCCAAAATCTACATCTGCAGTAGGAGAGCAGGAATATTTAGTGTCTCTGGTGATAGTGCAATATTTTAGCTGATTGTAAAGGAGGAGCTAGATACAATCACCTTTTAGGACGCTTGTCTCACATTGAGAGAGCTTGATTCTGCTGCAGCCTCTTCTGGGAATAAGCAGGTAACTATGAAAGAGTTGTTTGGCACAAAACAATACAGTTAGCAAACTAATCCTTTTTAATGTTGAGGAAGCAATGTTGAGTACTAAGTGCTCTGGAGAATCCAGTTTTGCATGGCTAGCTCTGAGCAACCCTAAAATAGACTGAGATCATCTCAGTGGTTGAACTCCATAGTTACTATCGCTCTCTAGAGGGATTACCATGTTGCAGAGCTAAAAGGAAACGAGCCAAATCAATTTTTAATTTTTCTGGCCAATGTCTAAATTCATTTTGTCCTCAATGAATTTATCCTGACTCAGCAAAGGTGTTAAAGGAACACAAGCAACATGAAATTTCGTCTAGTTAAATCCTCTTGTTACAGCTGACCTGAGTCTCCCCACTGTATTTTGTAGTTTTACAATCACATTTTCCTGTTGTTTTTTTTTTATTAAAAGTTCCCCTCCCCTTTTGCTGTATGAAACTGACTGCACAGGGGAATCGGTGAAACTGACTAGATACGAAGTACTAAACTGCAAAAGTAGACCCACTAATTTTAGGTGTTTGTTTAGGCATAAGTTTTAAAATATTTTCAGACAAAAATTTGATTTTCTTAAGTTGAACTGCCACTTGAAATGAATGTCCAAGCTATTCTGTTGGAATGTGTTACTCTGGAGACTATGCACTGTAAACCATTTTTCCAAAGTTTTTCACAAAGGTGTTTGGATACATGAGGGACAGTGCTGTGAAAGTGAGCATGTGCTGGGCAAAAGCCCAAAACACATACTACTTAATGGAACACATTTAACTTCTCCGCACACCTCCTGTACTTCTTCGGGAACATTTGGGGAGAGCTTTAGGAGCGTAAGTTTTCTAGTGGTAGTTGGGGAAGAAAGAAAGTGGGGAGATTCATAGCTACTCCAATGAAAGCCATCTACAAACAGTTCTTGCAGCGTCAATGCAAATACTTAGGCCGTGTCTACACTTAGCGGGGATCGACGCTGCTGCGATCGATGCAGTGGGGGTTGATTTAGCGGGTCTAGTGAAGACTCACTAAATCGAATGTAGAGCTCTCTCTGGTCGACTCTGGTACTCACCTTACTCCTCTCGTTATGGTGAAGTCGATGGGAGAGCGTCTCCTGTCGACGCAGCGTGGTGTAGACACCGCAGTAAGTCGACCTAAACTACGTTATTCACATAGCTGGAGTAGCGTAATTTAGGTCAATTTACCCCGGTAGTGTAGACAAGTCCTTAGTATTGCTTTCCTTGTTGGTCATTGTAATGTGCAATGTTTGGTTTCCTGATACTTTTTGCTATGTAGGACGCTTGGATTAGGACAGCTCCTTTTCCAAAGACAGGTACAGCACCTAACAGTGGTGTAATTTTGTCACTATCAAATGTAATTTTAAGGATGTAGAATACATAGTATGTATCTGCATCAGTAGAAATACGTAAAGAATGAGGCAGGCTTTAATCGAAAGCCCACTTGATTTAGGTCACAAAACTGGATTTTGTCACTTTACCAGAAGACACAGATAAGCTTCTGAGTACTGAGGTGCAAAAAGAAAGGAGGGAAAAAAACCAAACCAAAACACACACACCATGGTAAGATGTGCCCAGACGCTGCATGAGTGCTTGGAGCAAAATGGTTGTTTATATCAGCCAGGTGCACCTAATTTGAAGCAGTGCAAGTACTTAACCTTCAAGGCTTCCTACTTAGATAATCAGATCTCTTTCTAGTAAACCAGCTGCTGAAGACTATATCGCAGTGAAAGCACAACTGGATTGAATGAAAAGGACATTATTTAGCACAGAATGTTTTCCAGACTTGAAAGTTGTCTTTAAGTGCCAGTCCACAATGCAAGCGATTAAACCTTCTTTTTATGTTCTATCAGTGGTGCTCAAACTTTTCCTGTTGCGTGCCCCCTCCTTCCCTTACCAGTAATGGAATCGGTCTGCATCCTCCCTCCATTACTGCACTGTGTGGTGCTGGGGGCTGAACTGGGGAGAAGCTGGAGCTAGAGGTGAAGCTGGCCTGGGGGCAGAGAGGGAATGAGGGCAGAGTTGGGCTGGGGTGGAGCAGAGCTGCAGCCGGGGTCACAGCAGCGTTGTGCTGGGGGAGAGTGGGGCTGGGTGCAGCTCCTTTCCTAGTCCTGTGGGGGGTGGGCCAGGCCCCCCTGCAGGGATGCCTCTCTCCCCCTGCCCGCATGTTCCTCTGCGTCCCCCCCAGGGGACCACTGTTTTATACTAATGCTAGATGTTAAATGCAGGGGCGTGAAACCAGAGAACTTAGGTCAGCATATAGTGCTGCAGCAGAATGAACTCAAATGAAGAACAGTTCCCTCCAACAAAAGTTCCAGAACACTTATTCTTGCTCATTTGTTTTTATTAAAATTTGGAGTATGTTTTGAACAACTTGTACCCTGGTTATCCTATGCTTGTGTCAAGGCTGATTCCCCACTCTGGCACTTTGAGTGCAGAAGGTGGGGGCCCACAAGGATTTTAAAAATTAATACTGGCCACTCCAGGCTTGTATTAAGCTCCCAAGGTTACAGCTTTCCTCTGACCTTGTAAGGGTAGATGCTGCCACCAGCCAAATGGAAAACTCCTTTGAGAACTCAGGAAGGCTCACTTGGGAATTCCTTCCTGTGGGGGTACTCTCAAGCACTTTCACCCCCCTCTGGGGAAGAGCTGAGAAAGAAAACAAAGGAAATCAGCTGTTGCCAGCAGCTAATTAAGCAACATATGCACAAACCTCTTAGGACACGTGCCATCGCTGGTAAAATGAGGATCCGGCTGGATAATCTTGCCTATATGCTCGGGGTTCTACTGATCGCCATATCTGGGGTCGGGAAGGAATTTTCCTCCAGGGTAGATTGGCAGGGGCCCTGGAGGTTTTTCGCCTTCCTCCGCAGCATGGGGCAGGGGTCGCAAGCTGGAGGATTCTCTGCGACTTGAAGTCTTTAAATCACGATGTGGAGACTTCAACAGCTGAGTTAAGGGAAAGTGGGTGGGTCAGCTTATGTGGCCTGCATCATGCGGGAGGTCAGACTAGATGACCATAATGGTCCCTTCTGACCTTAAAGTCTATGAGTCTATGAGACACACAAATCCAATCCTGTTCTTAAAAAAGGTAAATTTTATTAGAAAGAAAAAGAAAAAATATACACCTGGAAACTCAGGCTATTGCTAGATTAAAAAAAACAAAAACAAAAAAACCCCACAAGGATTAAGCATCAAGAATAACTTTCTTGAGCTCCAGTTTAATCAAAAGCGAAACAAAAGCATTTGGGGTTAGCACAGCTGAGTCCACAAGCCATAAAGAAATAAAGAAATAAAAAGAGATAAACCTAATCCCTAGACATTTCCTGATTTACTTACATATCTGGGATTTTAAATGAGTAGTTCTAGATATACCAATGATTTTTCATGCCTGGCCCCAAGCTTCTTACAGCATAGTTGCTCCCTGTCTGCCTTTCCCCAAGAACAACAGACTGACAGACAAAGGGGAAGTTTTTTCTCAATTTTAAAAAGTTCTAGCCTTCCGATTGGCTTTTTTGGTCATGTGCCCATTCCCTTTCTTTTACCTATGCATAGCAGGGAGACTATTTAACCCTTTAAAGGTAAAGCAAGTAGAGAACAGCTACTAAGAGAGTTTTTATAGCTAGCTGGCTGGGTGTTCATAAAAGGGAGCTCTCTCCCCTCCCCTCCCCCTCACATTTCCCCCTCACACACCTTTCATTTATCACAGCTTGTAATTAACTCTTAGGTTGCTTTCTCCCTCTTTTTCCATCTTGAATCAGTTTCTGCTTTTACACTGGTAGCTCTATTAGATTCAATGGAACTATGGATTCCATAACTGATGTTACTGACAGCAGGCAAAATTTGGTGTATTTTTTTTTTAACAACTTGTACACAGGTTATCCTTTGCTTGTAATATTAAATAAATCCCCAAATTAAAATATGAGTGGAAAATCTATTTCTTCAGGTACTTTTAGAGACATTTCCAGTACTTTTATAAAGCATTGTTTAGTGGTTGCTGGTGATTAAAATGTGCATTTATGACATTTCATGTTGCCCCATAGAACTTGCCATCTTTCTCCTGAAAAGTGGCACTATTACCAGGATAAAATATAACCTATGTTACAACTTTTTCTTAGTTTTGTTCTAAATGAAACACTGTTGCTGCTTTGGCAATAAAGCTGTACAACATGTTCTGAATCACTATTCTATTTGAAATATGTTGGAGATTAGGGGTAGTTGGATTTGTTTTATTAATTATATTTTTAGAAAAAAATCAGGAAGAAAAATTATTTGGATTAAAGTGGAGATTTCTATTTCAGTTACTGGTCAGTCGCCCAATGCTGTTTATTTCTTAAAGTGTCTGTAATAGATGGCTATTGATATAGCCTATCCTCATTTAGCTTAAGTGCCTCCCTTGACAGCTGTTTCCACTGCTTAATTAACACTGTCTTATAATATTTAACCCACACTTCTTGTGATGCGATATAAGACCACTATGACTCTTTCTGTCCTGGTTGGCTGGTAATAACATACCTGTCATCTTGGTAATGCTTCTTTTGTGTGTTTATAGACCATTGTCTTTCTCCCTGTGTACTCCAACCATGTTTTCCCCAGACTGAACATACCCAGTTCTCTTACAGATAGATAGATAGAGATTTATTTTTCTAACCTTATCATGTTTGTTTCTTCCCCCTGAACCATTCTCCATATTGTTCTATTTTTAAAATGGACACAGCACTATACCTGCCTAGTGTGGAGGAATGCACTCAGTTGATTTACATGTTCTGTTAATTAACCTTTATGGTAAAATCCCATTTTCCCCCCCATTCATTCATCCTAAGCAGATGTCCAGTATAACTAGAATTGGAATGCAATGATATAATTCTGTGCTTCCATTTGACTTCAGCGTAAACGTAGTTTGATTGTAAGTAGGTTCCCTTCTACAGCCAAAAAGTATTTGCAACATTGACACAATGGTGTGATTAAACTCTAGAAGCCCTGGGTTTGGATGATACCACTATTCTAATCAGTTCTCCACATCTTAAATACATTTATACAGAGGATTATTTATTCCCATATGAATTTCTTTACTTTTGTCTCTTGACTCTAATTTCACATGCCTTTCAATACTTCCCTCCAGAATATTTTCAATCCATTGTATCTTCTGATTATCCTGCATCACCTCTTTAGCCACTTCTTTTACCTCTGTGAATTAGCCCTTCATTTGCCCTTAACTAGCAAAACCTACCTTTGTAGTTACCTTCTTTAAGTACATGGCCTACATTTCTGAGGTACTCATTAGCATCTGTGTAGCAATTACTGAGAGTAGCTTATGTGTCTGTTTGTCCACTTGAATCTTCCACAGAAATAAAATTTATTTTTAGTGCCTACACATTTTTATCTCCTGGTTTGTAACTCTCAGTTAATTATTTTGTTATGCTCCTCCTGTCTAAATATTATTTCCTATATTTGGAGTAGCTACTGTTTTCCTGCCTTCTCTGGTTTACTTGCTTTAGTTAACTTCTCACAGGATATGTGCCTCTTTTCTCTGAGTGGAAAGTCCAAGAACATATGTAAAAAAAAGAAAAAATATATCAGACATAATGAAAAGCAGTGATTATTTTAGTTTTGGTCACCTATTAGCCACTTGTTTTCTTCCTCTCTTGTTGCTCTAGCCTAGATGATTAAATTGTTCAATATCAAACACCCTCTTAGACCTGACACCCTTTGGTTAAAATTCACTTACTTGCTCTCATATCTTCTTAACCTTGACCACCAAATTACTCTAAACCTCCCCCCACAATCTGTTTGTCAGGCCACGATAACATTAATTTATGCTGGACGCTCCAGACCAAAAGTTGGCTTTGTGCTTTGAAGTATCTACTAGTTACTTCTGTTGCAGTGACCCAGAGTTGCTCATAGCTTTATTTTAGAGTTTTTTGTTAATCAAAAAAAAATTTTTTTTGTCTCTTCTTTCATTTCAGGGAACAGTTATTCTCTCCTACCCTTTAACTAAACTTGTAAATGGAACAGAATTTTTCAAGATTGTACTTCAAGGTATTCCCATTTAAACATACAATTCTTTACTTTTGCTGAAGTTACTAATGCATCTCTTAAAATTTTGCTATATCAGTATTAATAAACCTTGGGAAAGAGCTGTTTTGTTGTGTTCAGTGCTTAAAAAAACCTTTGTATACATTTCCTCAGAATATGGTATTTTAAATTTACAAGCCACTAAGTCATTTGAAACAATGTGACTATAGTGCTTCAGGAGACTTCCTGTAGTTATGGAACCTTGTAATCTGTTGTTATAGATTGTTCCAGCAATATATTACTTTTATGTACCATCTTAAAGCTGCATTTCTTCAGTTTGTAACCACTTGAAAAACCGAAGAGCAAAGTGTATCAAATTCATTAGTAATCACCATAGTTGATACATGGAAACAAAGCATTTGTTCTGGCCATTGTGCTGACAGAAGATATAATGTATTGAGTCCTATTCCAGGTTGAATAGATTAAAGCTATATCTTTAACTGATTGACTTGGATTGTAAAAAAAAATGAGAGATTTAGTAGTCAAGACTAAACTACACAGCTAGAAGCTGAAACAAAAGATGAGGAAGGGAAAGATTGCAGTGAGATTCAAAACAACTGCTGAGAAGCCCAACTCTCCCAGTTCCTGTGGAGAAAGAATGCAGATGATGTTCCTAGATGCTACTCAGGGGCTCTAACTCTTGTATTGGACTCTGGCAATTCATCAGCAGCGTATTATCGCCTAGGCCGACAAATTTGCAGGGGTGACAAATTTATAATAAGCAGCATTTTTGTAATCGCGGCATCAGTGACGCCGCGATTCTACCAATCATTGCGCGTATTGAAACCACCAATGATGGCGTGACGCCATTTAGTAAACATACTCGCGAGAATCCTAAATGTTAATAATATGACCGGAAGGAAGAAATTAAGCGGTTCTCAGTTTTGGATCCATCCGCAGTCCCACGCTATAAGCGAAATCATGCTATACGGACGCGCGTTCAAGCGAGGGTCCGCTGTACTTGTAATTTTATTTATAATAAAACTTGTAAATGTACAATTATTTTAATGATATTTAGATTCATTTTAGTTCAAACGAATTTGTAAAATAACTAAAACAAGTTCATATGGGGCCGGGGGCGGCAATTATTTCAGGGCCTAGGGGCAGCAAAATCATTAATCCGCCACTGCAATTCAGTGTCTAAGTTTTGAAGTCCCTCTCATGGCCCAGAAGAAAATATTTTATTTCTGTCTTCGTCCTTCACACTTTACTTCTCCTCACCCCCATCCTGTCCTCCACTGGAGAATCTCTGCCACTTGACTCCTCTCTGTCTCCTGGTTGTTGCATGAGGGTAGGGAAGGGGGTGCTAATCTATTACTCTAATCCTTGAGGCTGGAGAGGTATTTTGTGGTTCTTGTCCTCTACTCTCTAGTTACGTTTACAGTACACATCACTTTCAGCAGCGTGTTGTGTACATGTAGCTACATGCCAGAGTGAAAAGCACATTGTGTCCACACTGCACCATGTAGCTAGATGATCCAATGAAAAGCTCTGGCAGAGGGGAGACAGCAGAGAAAGGCTCTATCAATGGGGAAGCAGCAGGACACCGCGCTGACAAAAATAGCAGTGTAGATGGGGAGGCATGGCTTGGGTGAGTAGAGAGCCTTATAGGGTGTGTACTTGAGTATATACGTATTTGAGTATATACACACACCCTTCAAGCATGTCTTTATTCTACTCGCCTAAGCCATGCCTCACCATCTACACTGCTGTTTGGACCTGTGCTACAAGGGCTACATGAGTATGTACACTATACACCCCTGAAAGGCATGCAGTGTAGATGAAACTTATCTGTAGTGCCGATGCTCCTAGCAGCAGCAGGTGAAATTGATGCAGTCATTGTCAGTTTCACTGCTCCCTACTCAGGTCTGAATAGGCCTGAAACCTCCCCAGAGTTTTGTTAATTTCACTCTGCTACCGCTCAGGATATCTGTGAGCCTCAGCAGAGGCACTAGAATTCTTTTCAGTTTTAAGAAAATGACTGTATCGATTCACACATGGATGGTTATTTCTGTAACCATAACAGTTAGAAATATGTTTTTAAATGAAAGCTTAATTATAGCAGATATTCATACTAAGGTCTCCCAGCTCCCCAGGGAAAACTTCTTGGTACTTACAAGTGGGTGAAAGGACTTTTTTCAAGTCATGCATTATCTCCATATAAAATAGTGATATAATATATTATTTGCTAATACAGAGAATTAAATATAACTTGGTAGTGTATTCTATCTGTAACATAAATCATCCAAGTGGAAGCTTTGTCACTTCTGTGTTTAATATACATTGATTCTCTGTACATGCACATTTTAAATTGTGATCAGACACATGAAAAACATTCTATTTCATATAGCCAGTATTGTTTGTATAGCTGCTTTTCTGTGCCTTTTTAAATATTTTGCATATATATATCAGTTTTCATTATTCAAATAAAAATTTGTACTGCGTTGTATAGAAAAATGTTTTTGTAGAGACTTTTCCTCACCATTTTGGTATAAAAGGGTTATAGTAATCTGGATTGGTTTTGCTTCTCTTTATAGAGTCAGAGAATTCATGTTCAAAGACCAGCACCATCAATGTTTTATTCTTTGGAAGGTTGGCAGACGATTGTGGGAAAGTTGTACATCAAGGGGTAAAACATTTTTATTTCTTCCTCTTTCTGAGAGGCTTTTCTAAAGATCTAGCTTAATTTACTTTTCTGTCTAGTTTGTATGGCTTTCATCTGAAATAGATTTTTAAGAGACATATTGAGCCATTGTTAGAAATATTAACTAGAAAGGAAAACATAGTTTTGATTATGTTAATTTCTTATTAACCCAAAAAGTAAACTAAGAACTTAGTTATTTTATATTGTCGTAATACTGTCCTGTTTACCTAGCAAATTAATGGGGATGAATATCAGTGACTCAGAGGCTGCCCAGTTATGAATATAAGTAATATTTATGTTGTAGTTTGACGTAGATAATAGATTTCATCACTGAGTTGATTTAAATGACACTATTAATCAAATTGTGTTTTGAAAATGCCTAAAATTGTGTAACTCTTACTATTTCTGGATATAATTAGTGTACCTTACTCTGTGTGGATAAAGAATCTAGCAGTAAAATATTCATGCAATATAATACTGATGCCTACCTCTTGTATATAAAACCACATATAGCATTTCCTTCACTGGCTGGCTGCTGTCTTCATAATGCAGCGGAGTTACAAGTTTGGTTTAATCTCACCAGTGAGATGCATGTTAAGTTAAATCAGCACAAGAGGCTGGTTGTTATGGGCCTAAAGAAGGAAGATTAAAACCATTTTGAACAACTAATGTGCTAAATATCGATTAGCTTGGATGATTATGACACTTTAGTAAACTGATTTTCAGATCAGTAGTTAAACTAAAAAGGGAATCCGGTACATAGCCTCATTTTAATGATTCACCATTTCTGAAGTAAACAATTTAAAGCAAAAGTCGGTGTGAATTTAGTGTGGAAATAGCAATGGCTTGGGTAATGTGCTTGGCAAGCTACTTTGCACAACTCTGCCACTACATTTTACCACTGTGCTAACCTGTGAGGGCACACGCATACATGTGCACACCTTCGGGGTGGGTCTGGAAATGGGCAGCTTCAGCCTGTGTTGCTCTGTATTTGTGGAGTGTATGAAATGCATATATACTGGGCTAGCTCTGCTCTTTTAAAGACCAACCAGCTCTTTTATTTTTTTAAACTCGGAGCTAAGTTATGACTTAAACTTGGCTCTCAGTAGAAAAAAAAATCAACTTGTCCTTCTCGAATGAAGCTTTAATACAAAACCATATCAGCTTCAAAGATTCATTCATCAGACCAAGAGGAAGGTGGGATGGAAGCTGCTGGTTTCCAGGGTTACACTGAAGACTTTCAAATCCTTGAGGTCCTAGCACTTTAAACATTCTTAACGTGACTAAATTAATATCACATTTTAAAAAAATGTATTGTCTTTCTTTTTGTGCATGAATGGATCTCAGGGGAAGGTAATTAAAACTTAGTAATTACCCTATTGCTGCCACAATCATGCCTCATAAGAGATGTCTGTTTAGAAAAGACAGCAAATGTCTACAGAACTTGCCTTATCTGTGAAAGAGGGTATATCACCCCTTTAAAGAAAGAGACTAATGCAGAAGATATTTTGAAGACTGCACTGCTTGTAGGAAATCTACTACAATCCACCTGATCAGAAAGAAGTGGACTATGAAATAATTGTTAAAATAAAAAAGTGAATTCTAATTCCATCTTTGCATCTCCTCTTATCTGCAAACACTTCCTTTCCGCCTCTGATGTAATCAGATACTTTCAGGTCATTTAGAATCTCTGAGCTGAAAAACCAGGATACCTGCAAATCCTGTTTTCCAAAGCTTCTGGGCCCTGATACCTGTTATCAGCCTCCTTGAAAACATCATCTGGTAATTTCCGAAACATGAGACCGATATAATTCAAGTTAAGTAAAGTGATGTGCATTTAAGATACAGCTGAGAACTTAAAATCAAGAGCTTTTTAAAACTGAGCACCTGAAAAGAAGTCTGTGAAAAGATGTTCCATAAAGATAAACTTAAGTTACACAGGGGGAAAAAGAGTTTTGAAAAATAAATTATCTTACTATTTCATACATTGTTTTTTTTTTCCCGAATGTTTCATAATGACTACCAACTGCAATGTTTTTCAAGAATGAATTTTCTTTTTCAGTACCAGATGCCTGAAAGCATACAGATAAAAAGAATAAAGCATCCTTCTATTTGAAGCTATAGAAATTCACAAACCTTACATTCTATTTCTGATACAAAATACATTTCAACTTTTCACTGAAGTTTCATTTACACAACAGTTTTTCCTGGATCCTTAAAAGTTTCTAGATTGGTTCTTGAAAAGCATTTTAGGAGAAGCTGTCTTGCTGGTAACATTTGCTGACACAAGCTTATCTTATTTTTTAAAAAAACCCGTACTTATATTCTGAAGCTTTGTCTAGTGATTCAGGCTCAAGCGCTTGTCAGCAACCATTTTTAAAATGATTCCTCATCCACAAATTAACTTTTTTTTTTTACGTGCATCTTTTTAAAAATTCAGCATTAAAATCTTTTCGTTTCTTTTAATTGGTCTTACTCTTGAACAGTGCTGCATCATTTATACTCAGTTCAGGTTTACAAGGTTTTGGTGAATTCTGTGGATACAGAATTTAGGAATACATGGTGAGCTGGCAATATCCTGTCCCAATAGGTAGAAAGTCTAGCCATAGATGTTCATAAAAAACCCGGGCATTTTGCTCCATTCAAGCTTAGGATCTCTCCTTCTGTCAGAGTGGCTTCTAAGAAGGATGAGCTACTGAGGCCTAGTATTTCTGAGAAGGTGTTTTCTTGGATGAAGCCTTCCAACAGGTTGTATAAGTAAGCTGTGCAAGTACCTACTTGGATAATTTTCATTGCCCCCAGTAGAAATTGCTTAACTATTTTCTTCATCTCTATGAAACTAGCTTAAAAAAAGATCCATGAATATTCTTTTGGCAGAAATATTGATCCATCACAAATATATCAAATGTAAAGTCCTAGATTAAGGCTAGAAGAAACCATTATGATCATCTAGTCTTGCTGCATCTGTAACACAGGTCAAATTCTGAATCAAGCCCATAATTCCGTTTGAGCTATAGCATGTTTTTAGAAAGATATCCAATCTTGATTTAAAGATTTCAAGTGATGGAGAATCCTCTGCATCTCTAAGTAAGTTATTAGTTACCCTCACTGTTAAAAACTTGTGCCATATATCTAGTCTGAACTTGTCTAGCTGTGACTTCCAACCGTTAGATCTTGCTATGCTTTTGTCTGTTAGATTAAAGTGCTGTCTACTGTCAGAAATCTTATTCCCATTTAAGTGCTGGCAGACCATGATTGAGTTGCCTCTTAACCTTCTCTTGGATAACCAAATAGACTGAGCTGCTTTTATGTTGCTTAAAGGCATGTTTTCCAAGGTAGACCAGTTTTTCAGCAGCCCTTTTTGTGAAATTGAGCTTGATGATAGTAATTTGGCCTTTAAGCTGATGAAGCCATTTGGTATATCTGAGCTCAAGGAGGGTACATGGAAGGTCATTTCAGACGTGATGGTAAAGACTTTGGGTCACAGGGTGAGCTTTGTTCCATGTGACATATTTCATTGGGTTCTGATGTAGCTCAGAGTCTTGTCTAAGTGTTTCTCAGATTGCATCTCTCACTGTTGTAGACTGGCATGCCTAGAGCTTAAAGATCACGTCAAGTATCCTGCAGTTTGTGGCAGAGTAGCTTTTGCTGACAGCCTCAAATCTCTACAGCAGATTTGCAAAGCAACTACATGGCAGTTTATATGAAGATTCTCAAAGCTGTGTGACATCAAGAAACAAATCCAGATTCAGATAGTCTTGTTCCAGAGCCGATTCCCCACATCGCCAATGGCTGAGTCCTCTGAAAATTAAAGACCTGTTGGTTTTTGCCCTTACTGGCAGAAATACAAACTGCAAAACAAGCAGCAAAACAAGGCCCTAAGCAGTAATTAGAAGATCAGAGAGCAGAGCAGCAAACAGCAGCCATTGAACCGATTTCAAATGGCCAGAGTGCACCATCATCAGTGTTCAAACCTCCCTTGTGACTTGAAACTTCATTATACTTACACCACTTTTTGTTTGTTTGTTTGTTTTAATTGTTCAGTGTTAATCTGAGTGAATGAATTTGAGTTCTGGAAAGAACAGATCTGTGACTCAGCAGGGTTTAATTAAAAAACAAGATTATTATTCTCGATACACAAGCCCCCCTCCTGATAAGATACAGAAGACAATAAAGATCAAAAAGAAAGGAAAATACTTTGATAGCAATAGTTCTTTTCCAAGATCCTGATCTGAAATACTTTTTGGTCTGCAGTAATCCATAGGCATCTCCAGCAAAGTCTGTTCTGAGAGACAAAGGTCGATATGAGTTAGATATCCCTTGAGGTCTTGCTTCCTTAAAGGCACAGTACTAAATTCCCACTCAACTTTTGCTCGTGTTTATATCATCACTGTACTATGGTATGATGAAGCTCTATTAATCAATTCTTTTAAAAAGAAATATAAAATAGTGGCTGGCCACTAGAGAAACACAGTCAGTTCAACAAGTTTGAATGCTTTAGTACTGCTTGACACTTAGGGCTGGTCTACACTGCCGCGCTAGTTCGGCGGCTGGGGATCGAAGTTCCGAGTTCGATTTATCGCGTCTGGTCTGGACGCGATAAATCGAACCAGGAAGTGATCCCCGTCGACTGCGGTACTCCAGCTCAACGAGAGGAGTACCGCGGAGTCGACAGGGAGCCTGCCTGCCGCGTGTGGACCGCGTCTGAACCGCGGTAAGTTCGAAGTAAGGTATGTCGAATTCAGCTACGTTATTCATGTAGCTGAATTTGCGTACCTTACTTCGACTTGGGGGGTAAGTGTAGACCAAGCCTTACAGTAACAAACTCTGTTGTTGTAAGCATTCTCAAACTTGGCTTTCTTTTGGCAGCTTTAGCTAACGCAAGGGAAGAAGTGGTGATAGCAGATCACTCTCTTTTCATTGGCTCCCAACTATAGTGCTCTCCATGTCTGCTATAAGTTGGTGGCTGAGCCTTCTAGAAATGA